GTGTTGTAATTCCCCTAAAACAACTAAAAAGCTACAATAAGCACTCAAAAATAGAACTAAGAATCCAAGCTCTAACAGAAACTATTAGCAGGAAATGTATGGTCAACCTGTGTCATCATGCTTTAAACGTACTGGCTCGCCACGTAACCATTCGCCAGTATCGCACAAAAGAAGCCAATGGTCGCCTGTATCTCCCTCATTCTCGTTGCCGAAACATGAAACCTCCTAAACCATAAAACGCAACACTCCTATTTCCATCTGGATCGGAAACAAGACAACAGTAAACACACACATGAAACAGTAAATACAGAAATGACGTTTTTATTCCTGTACTGACCCAAGAATCGATTCAACTAAATAATTCCCACATACTGATACAGCCCTTCTACTCATTTTTTCCTTTAAATCTGCCCGGCGGCTTTAAATTACTGTTTTTCAGGCGATAGGATTGAGAAAACAATCTATACTGTGGAACTATGATGAAGAATAACCTGATTTCCTCTAGACAACGGAGCATTAAATAAATGACTGTGCAAATAACATCCCGTTGTCAAGTGTTTCAGGCGTATTTTGTCACCACAATTTATCGAATCGCCGCGAAAACACTGTTTCTTCATTGCTGAAGAATGTCACCTCTTAAACCCCAGCTCACACAGAAAGCAAGAAAATTACTTACAAATACTAGCGCAATATTAAATTAAAAAATCAGTGAGTATTAAATATCAGAAGGCAAACTTACGAGCCATAACCTGCCAGTGAGAGTTAACATCGTCGGCTTCCGGCATACCAGTTATTGACTGCTGTCCACTTCCTGATCCATATTTAACGTCATGTGAGTGTAAACGAACTCCTGAACCGTCCTCACTTGATTAGTTAGTCCAAAAAAAAAACTAAAGTTTAAAAAGCCCATATCTAACTGTATGAAATACAAATTGTTAGAAAACCTTTTATCTATTCAATAAAACTGACCCTCTTGCAGGTTAAGTAGCTTTATCACAGAACCACAAGTAACATAATTATCATCGGCATGCGTTAACAGAAACAAAAGAGGCCCAAGAAGTAAAAGAGAATGTTTCATATTCGGACGACAAAAAAAATTCGACCAAACCTAAAATGTGTTTTTATTTGAACTGATTCCTTAAGACGAAATAGGTAAAAAGATTTCAAATGAGAGAGATAACGACGACAACTCGGTCATGACAGAAACAAAAGAAAATAATATCGAATTATAGCAAAGATAACTTCTCGAAGCCAAGTACTGCTAAGACAGTTTATAACTTTAAATTGAATTAGAAAACAAGTTACACGGGATATGTCAGTCGAAATGCCAAAGAGCATTAGCAGCCAAATGTTTCATTTTTGCTAATCTTTAATGACATGCATGAGACATATTTATGCATCGTTTACAAACACCAATAAATTTGCAAAAAGTAATGCCATTGACAAGCATTGTAAACAAACAAACACTGCATGCTTGACACGTTTCATGTGTCCAGTTCTAGAGAAGTTCGACCATCACGTATCAATTTACCATGAAATGGTGTGAGGCGCTGGCACAACTCCAACCATAAACCTGCTCATTTGGCGCGAACAGTAGCAGCTAAAAACCCTCTCCATAGCGTGCTTTGGTGTTTCCCGCTAATGAACGGTAGTGCAAAAGTTGGCGAAGCTTCGCAGTAGTAGAATTGTAAAAGATAGTACATCAAGCAGAATCTCAATAACACCAATCGTACGGCATCTCTTTATGAGAAAACTAGCATAGGTGTTCCAGATAATATGTTATGAACGTTACAAGCGTTTATGAATGTAGCGTGTAAGCTGGGTAGTCGTGGCCCAGGTAATTTATCAGCACGTTGTCGGTGAGTCATTAACTGTGGTGGGTACTGTACTGTAACTGAAAGATGCCAGTACAAAACTGTCTTTGTTGACAAAGATTAATGAATGGACACTTTATTTAAAAATGGAGTGTCTATAAAGTTATCATAGTTTTTTAGGTTTCATTTTCACTTTTTTTTTTTTTTTTCGTTCTGCTATTGCTAAACTTGAACTGTTTTAATTTCATTTATTCTTGTTAGTTGGAACCGTTACTATCTGTAAAACTCTCCACAGTTAAACGATTCTGAGCAAAAGAGAAAAGTTGGGTAAAGTGCAAAGGTTACAAAAGCATGCATTCAGGAGTGTGGCTGGGAGACTTTCAAAAACAAATTTTAGCTCGGGTTTTTTTTTTTTTTTTTTTTCTCTACAAAGTCGACTCTAAAAAGAGCGGGACACAGGAATATTTTAAAATTTCCGAAGGATTTTTAAGAATATCCCATTATTGTTGTTCCCAAGTCTCATCACGACCTTTTAATTCTGAACTTTCTTATGGAGCTTTGATGTTAAGAGACATTACTATACACTAACTTAACAGTTAGCATGTCATCTGTCATTTTTCTCATAGCATAGTTTTTCAACCTGGTTTGAAAATCTCCAAACTGGAGGTGTTTTTTTAAAGGAAAATGACAGTGAATTTGTATTTTCAGAAGCTTTAACTCTATCGAGTGGTTGTTAAATAGTGTGTATCAGACCCCGACCTGATCTCAGAAATGAACCCAGTTAACATACAGAAGTGTAATTAGGTAAACGTAGTTTTTTTTTTTTTTTTCAGTTATATTCGTGATGAATAACTCTATTCGTTCAAGGTTTGCTAGGAAAGAGTTGCACCAAAGGCCTCCCTCAGTCATAGGAAGGTTTTGTGCTCTTGCATTTGTGCTTCTGCAGATACCTATATTTGTCAAGTTTTTTTTTTTTTCGATTATTCCCAGGAGTTCATCTATATTTAGTCATATTGCACAATGGATAAAATCTTCTTTGATCATTTATTCTTTAATGCGAGCGGTCACAAATCTGAATCTTGAGTAATTTTTAATGCTTTATAGTCTGTTTAAGCTGTGTAAGAGTAGTACCAGAGCCAGAATAGTTCTACTATTGCCTAAATTCTGAAAGGATGGGTACCAGTGCGATCTTGATTCACATTTCTCAGTCGGACTTCTTCATTTTATGCTGCTCGATTAAACAAAATGTCTTAATTTAGTACTTTTTGCTGATCTCCTTAATTCTGGAAATTAAAAAATATTCTGAAAACTTTTCATAGACAAACTTTCTTTTGTGTTGGAAAACAGGCTAAATTTTCTGAAGTCACATTTATATACGCCTTTCTCAGACAATATCAGTTTGTAATCTGTTTCAAACAGAAAAACTGTTGTTTAGGTGAAGTAGATGTTATTTTTCGATAAACCCTTGTAAAACGTCTAATGTCTAATTACCAACAGTTATCTTTCATAAGCGAAGGACCGTTTTGTAAATAACGGTTAATGTATAACTAAAAATTTAGTCAAAGTAAAGTGAGATTAATTACAGAGAATTCAGTGAAAATGTGCAGGTAGAACATCACTATCTGTTAAAATGCAAAGTAAGTTTTGTTGGTGGCAGATGATAATTTTGAATGTTATTGTCTGTTTCCTTTCAAACGACCGTCTAAAACGTTTTATCTGCAACCAGTTTCGACTCCATCTTCTGAAACTTATGGCCTTATTTCTCTGCAGAAGAACTTTTTTAAAGAAATGACCAACTCTTTTGTGGATAAATCCATTCATTCTTTTTGACAGAAATTATTTCCCCAAAGCATCTGTTCTTTGCTACGCACTTATTCGATCCATTGCTCAAAAACATTCGGTTCAAACATTGTTGTGCCTCAGACATCACCTACAATCAAGCGGCATTTCACACGATATCCTATTTGAGTGCTACTGAAAAGTGTTTATGCAGACGAAA